TTAACATAAAGAGACAACCTTGTCTTCTGTAATTTAGAATAATTGGAACAAAAGCAGCGCTGTATGGCCATTCTCTTTAATTGTTTGTTTGTTTTTGAATTTCGCTCAAAGCTACACGAGGGCTATCCGCGCTAGCCGTCCCTAATTTATCAGTGTAAGACTAGAAGGAAGGCAGCTAGTCATCACCACCCACCGCCAACTCTTGGGCTACTCTTTTACCAACGAATAGTGGGATTGACCGTCACATTATAACGGCTGAAAGAGCGAGCATGTTTGGTGGGACGGGGATTCGAACCCGCGACCCTCAGATTGCGAGTCGAGCGTCTTATCCACCTGGCCATGCCGGGCCCTTCTCTTTAATAAGGATAACTAAAACAAATGTATAATAGTCCCTTAACATCCACCCTCCTCTATCTATCTATCACCTACGTTATACGTCTAACAGATTATGTGTATATTGTTTACGTGACATAGCAATGTTCTCCAAGTGGATTTAATGTCCACTCTTGACCTCGAGCACATTAAGCATTCCGGTAATCTGATAAGCAGTCGTACACCTAGTAAAGTACTAACTTTGCTAGATTGTTTTTAAGGAATTGTTGTCAGTTGAAGTCAAAAATGATTTGACAAAATAACTTATTTTTCCAAACTCTTCCGCTTATAGCACACATGTATAATCGAACCCCATGGTGTATAGTGTAAACCATCAGTTTTTGCTTGTTTGTTTAACGTACTTGTGAACAGATATTTATTCGCGAGGGAGTGTCGTGTTAGTATTAAATTTAGGCTCCGTCTTTATGCCCAATAATCTTACAGAAATGCATTTTTCCCTATCCTGTAGTGTCAGCATACGAAACGTTCTACTAATCGAATGCTGCATTATAACCGCGTAACGATAGACGTCTGCTGTTTTCTGAACCTTCAAATAGTTTCACAAACCTTTGCCTATACAAGAGTTTGACTATAATTAAGTATTTGTCTTATTTTGCTAGGAACGAAAATAATTTTATAAAACGTAAACATTGTTTAATTTATAACCTTACCCATATTAATTTCTAGATTTTATTTAGATAGAAAAGTATCACGGCATTAACTTAACAAGATAAAGAGAAACGTGGGAATTTAAAAAATGTGCAAATAGGGATCGTAAAATAAGTAATGTACAAGGATGGAGATACTACAGACTCAAACTACAAACCCCTAGAATTACATTTGGTGGAGTCAAAATGAACTATTCATTACCCCTATAATAGTAGTTGGGGCTGCACTTGCTAGTCACGCCGATAGAGGGTGCCACACGTGTGTTGGCCTCAGGCAATGGTGAGAATGGAGAAAGGGTAGAGACGATGACGTCATAGTTTCCACGATGTGGAACCAGAGGGCGCATTACCCGTCAGAGACGACTACGTAATACTTCCACGAAGTGGAACCAAAGGGCGCGTTATTAGGCCGCCATGACAAACGAACATAATGACTTAGTTCCACTAAATTGAACCAGTGTTTCAACGTGACAAATATAACAACTAAAAATTACACTGTTTGTTGTAAACTGATGTGTGAACAAGTTTATCAACACTACCTGGAAACAGCTAACTCCGTTACCACTCAAGTGCATAATTCGTTGTATTGTATAATTAAATCTCATACATTTCACATGTTTAAGTAAACAATATAAACTATAATTGAATCGATCTTTCATTTTGAAAATTATTCTAAGCCGAATGATACAGTCTGAACATTTGTCGGGCACAGTATTGAATAGAAAGTATGCAATCATTGTACGCTAAATGCCACATCAGATATTGAGAATATACATCTAGTGTTTTGGATCACCATGCAACGTGAAAGAACTACGTTTAATGACTTTTAACTTTCATTGCTATACAGAAACTTTAGTTAAAGTATGGTGAACATTAAATTTATGTAGAAAATATATGATTATGTAGAGTTCAGTCCTCAAAAATTTATAAAAATGTTAAGTGTAGTTATTGTATAATAGTGATTAATCACATTGATTATGTAGTAAAATAACCTTTCTTCCCTTTCTATAACTTCTTTTCTCTGTCTACCCTTTCCACGTGCCGAGCTTTGTATTTCTTAACAGACAAAGATTAATTAGCTTGACATCAGTGATGTGTGTGTATGTGTGTGTGATATTTCATAATAGTGTTTGGACAGTTTCAATGTTTTATGAAATTTTAATAGAAAAATAGATTTAATAGAAAATTCATTCATTTATTATATTTAGTTGTAGCAAAATTTTAGGCGATACCGTAACACTGTTTCAAAATATATTTTAGTTTTGAAAATATAACGTGAGATAAATTAGATAAAAACTAGATTGTTTGTTATAGACTGTTACCATGCATTGAATAATGAAATCTTATAAATGTTGAAAAATTATTTTAAGCTGATTGTTGTAAAGTGTGGTTGTTTTGCGTTTATAATGTGTATTCGTAAATGAAAAACTCCTACCTAAATTTGGATCCCACAAAGATAGTAAATGATATGTTTGGTCATGATTTGTTATAAAACGTTTTCATTTAAATGTCTTTTTATGTAGATCAGATTGCAAAATCTTTATTGTGAGAAAATTGATAAAGTGTCAAAAAGAAATATTGTGTCCAGAATTGTTTAATTATAATAATGTCACCAAAAATCTTTGAAATAATCACTTTATTTATGATTAAAGAGTTAGACTAGTGAAGCAGTAAAGTTTAGATTATTGCATGATATTTGAATAAGCATCGTTTTTCAGAATAATTTACATATAAATGGTCAAGCAATGTAATTAAATATAGAACTAATGATTTAGTCACATTGAAACACATTGGTACACTTTGTGTGCCCCTAGCAACACACCCTCTGGTTTCATTTAGTGGAACTATGTCGTTATTTCCACTTGTCATAGCGGCCTACTAACGTGCCCTTTGGTTCCATTTTGTGGAACTATTGAGTAATCGTCTATGAGGTCATGTCCGCCTGTTATGGCCGCCTAGTAACGCGCCTCTAGCAACATGCCCTCTGGTTCGACTTCGTAAATCTATGACGTCATCATCTATTGTGACATCATTGTCTCTACCCCTTCTCCCCATTGCCTGAGGCGGACACACGTGTGGGGTCCTCTGGCGGTGTGACTGGCAAGTGCAGCCCTAACTACTTACCACCTTTGCAGTACCTTATTTAGTATTCTACAAAAGGTTTGGGTGCAATATACCAAGCCGTTTTTGTTGTAGGCTGGCAAGATAATAATAATAACAACAAGAAGAAGAATTGCAAACTGGCCATTTTGAGCGGATTTTCTTTTTGTACATTTTGTATGTGTATAGCTTTAGTAGTCTATAGTAAATGTTTTTAAGTGTTGTTTGAACTGAATTTTTACTGTTTAAGGTGTTTTTTCCCGAATATTATATCAGGGTTTTGTGCAATTCCTTGCTATTGCTATTACGAACATTATCGTGGCTCATGATAATATATTTTTTCAACCAACTTACACTTACGATGCAAAATGTATCAACATTTCACAGCTGTGTAACGGACTCAAGTTACTGGAATAACACTCTTACTTTTATTTCAGCGCCACCTATTGTTCATTGTGGTCAACTTTCTAATAACAGAATAAAATGCTATAAATTATAAAATTCACTTGAGATAAAGAATAGCAAAATGATATACTCTAAAAAGCTGTGCGTTTTGAGACCTTAATTGCATTTAAAATAATTCAAAAATCGGTTTGCAATAAAAAATTGTCTGAACTTGATATTTTACTTTCTGATATATGCTTATGTATCTTATTGTAGTAATATTTTTCCTAACAAAGATTTATTTACATATTCTGTTATAAAAAGCCATTACAAAAAAATATAAACAATGATACTATATTTTCCTTCAAGGATAACTTACGTTTATTGTCTTGTTAGATGTCGCTTTCATCCAAAATTCTACAATCTCACCACCAGAGGTCTGAAAAGGTGCGTATTTGGTGTTCCCCATTGGACATGGACAAACTTAACTTCGACCTTTTAGTCAATTACTAAGAACTAACCACCACATTCATGTTAAAAATCTAAAAACATTAAATGTGATAACTGTTGAATTCGTTTTTTTTCTCTCTGTTTTGTCAACATGGTAAAATATACAAACATAAATACCTATTATCAAAATCCAAAACAATTACTTTATCATTCAACAAAGAGTTACTAATGTCCAGAAAAATGTCTACATGTGCAAGCTATATTAACATCTTATAATGTACAAAACTAAGAAAAAACAATTTATAATATTCAAATAACAACTGTTACTTGTTACTAAAACGTATATCACTAATCTAATTACATGAGCACTGTCGGGCACGCTTTTTACATTTTTACCACATGGGAATCAGCTTATGATCGCTGTTCAAACTTAAAAGTGAACCAAAATAAGAAGTGGTAGCACAACACGCATTTCTACTCAGTTCTTTGGTGAACAAGCAGTATTCAACCCATGTTAAACTCCAAATTAAAAATTTACGTTTTAAGCGCTTGAATGATACGAATTTAAAATAATGTATTATTATTATTATTATTATTATAATGATAATTTGAAATATACGTTGTAGCTTAGTATTCGATGTTACACTGCTAAGGGGAAACTAATGAAGAATGTATTTTGTTTTTTACACGAATCGTCATTGGTGAATGTTGAATCTAGGGAAGAATGCAATCCGTTGTTACGCGAATCGTCATTGTTGGATGTGGAATTCACCGAAGAATGCGTTCTGTTATTAAACGATTTTCATTGGTTTAAGTGGAATCTAGTGAAGAGTGTATTCTGTTATTACACGAATCATCATTGGTGGATTGTTTTGTGGTTAACCATTCAGCAATCCTGTTAATAGGGCATTTAATTAGGGATGAAACGTTAAAGTTAGCACTTTTCAATATCTTAATACATGAATTATTAGCTACAATTTTACCGTAAATGTCAATATTAATAGCAAACAATTAAAGAACACATACAACATACGCTCCACCAATCAGCTGTCCAGCCTGTCCGACATAGAGCGTAGAGGCACTGTCAAAAACGAGTTCTTTAGGGATTCGGTTGTTCTCGACCTGGCCAAACTCTTCACATTGAAAATATAAACTAACAGTGTTGTCGTACACCTTCAACGCAAACCTAAATAAAATAATGCACAAAATAAAGTTATTTTAACAGAGAGATATTCTCACCGTTTCATGTTACAACTTAATCTTTAGTTTACTCGTCATAACTTGTCGTTCAACTTATTGTGAAATGTAATGAAAAAATGTTTTACCCATCTATTGAATTTTGTTTACAACAAAACATCTAACATACTTTCTCCAGCGCCCAATAAAATCTGGAACAGTAAACGTGGCCAGAATTTGAGAGGACAGGTGCATTGTGACATCGGTGTAGTACAGACTTATGTTTACAAAGTTATCGTATGATTCCACTATGTGTACTCCCAGCTGGATAATCGTCTCCGAAGGATTAACAACTACAATGAAAGAAGATAATTTTTCAATACGGAAAAAATAACTCTAAAGAACACGCATCTTCTTTAAATGTCAGTGCCAAGCAAAATGATATCAAAAATAGCTAAGCCATTACATTAAACTTAATACCCGTATCAAGGGAAATCAATGGCGCAACTAGACGTCATGGGGCCGTTCAGCAAAATTACATGAGGGCCTTTAATCACTTGTTTAAACTCAAAATAAAGACAGCATGTCTATGTAAGCATCAGTTTCTTAAGATCCAAATAAAGACAACATGTCTAAGTGTCAGTTCTTTAAGTTGGAAATAAAGACAGTATGTTTTTTTATCTTAAAGAACTTTTGCTTAGATAGACAGTGTAGTCTCTATTTTGATCTTAAAGAACTGATGCTTAAATAGACAGTGTGATCTCTATTTTGATCTTAAAGAACTTCTACTTAGATAGACAGTGTGATCTCTATTTTGATCTTAAAGAACTTCTGCTTAGATAGGCAGTGTGGTCTCTATTTTGATCTTAAAGAACTTCTACTTAGATAGGCAGTGTGGTCTCTATTTTGATCTTAAAGAACTGATGCTCAGATAAACAGTGTGATCTCTATTTTGATCTTAAAGAACTTCTACTTAGATAGACAGTGTGGTCTCTATTTTGATCTTAAAGAACTGATGCTTAGATAGACAGTGTGATCTCTATTTTGATTTTAAAGAACTTCTACTTAGATAGACCACACTGTCTATCTAAGCATCAGTTCTTTAAGATCAAAATAGAGACCACACTGTCTATCTAAGTATCAGTTCTTTAGATCAAAATAGAGACCACACTGTCTATCTAAGCATCAATTCTTTAAGATAAAAATAGAGACAGATGTCCATCTAAGCATCAGTTATTTATAAAATCACAATAAAGACAGTTCTGGATCTAAGTATCAGTTCTTTAATCTACTGTATTTTAATGTTTCTATTTCAGTAAACAGTTTCTTTTTTCTTACTTGTCTTTTAAGCTTTTCTTACATCGTTTTTAACGTGTTACGATATAGACCAGTTTTTTTTTTAGTAACGTTATACTTAAATCCATTTTACCAGCAAACAGGTAGCCTCCTGATGGTTCTCGGCGTTCGGGTTTAATAGTTGCTAAAATAGAAAAGTCACGAAACATCTTTTTTGGGAGATACAGCCGATAGGGAGCTCTGATCTCGGACTTCTCTTTGAATCCAAAAGCGGGAAAACCATCTAGGCCATCGACAAAGTACACCATTGAGGAGGTAAAAGGAATTTTTATAGTTTCAAGAAAATTCAGTGACTGCAGACGTTCTAGATAATGGAGAAAGAAACGATGAATTAGAAAAGTGTGTATATATATATATATATATTTAAAGTAATTTCAGTAACCATCTCTCACATAGACTTTCTGATTCTACAGGAAATAAAATTATCACAGCATATTTAAAAAACTATACAGTACCCTACTTGATCTTAATTTAATTAAATAAATTTCTTCGCCACTAACTTATGGATTTTTGATGCGGCCATACAAACAAACAAACAAAAAAAAGGAATTACTGATAATTCAGTTGAAGTTTACATCAAAGAAAACCTGAAATTTTACTAAGTTATAATGTGTTAACTCATAAATAAAATGTTAAAAATCATTATTTGAAGCTCACGACAAGATAGGTTATTATTTAATTTAAAAAGAAGTAAAAAAAAAAGGTTTAAGCACTTGGTACTCCTTCAGTGTTATTGTTTCTAAACGCTACTCTGATAACATGTTTGTAGCAGGTGGTCTTCCTTCTGTGTTGTTCTTTCTAAATGCTATTCTGATAACATGTTTGTAGCACATGGTCTTCCTTCTGTGTTCTTTCTAAACGCTACTCTGATAAATGTTTGTAGCACGTGGTCTTCCTTCTGTGTTGTTATTTCTAAACGCTATTCTGATAAAATGTTTGTAGCACGTGGTCTTCCTTCTGTAGTGTTCTTTCTAAACGCTATTCTGATAACATGTTTGTAGCACGTGGTCTTCCTTCTGTATTGTTCTTTCTAAACGCTACTCTGATAAATTGTTTGTAGCACATGGTCTTCCTTCTGTAGTGTTCTTTCTAAACGCTATTCTGATAACATGTTTCTAGCACATGGCCTTCCTTCTGTGTTGTTCTTTCTAAATGCTACTCTGATAAATTGTTTGTAGCACGTGGCCTTCCTTCTGTGTTGTTATTTCTAAACGCTACTCTGATAACATGTTTGTAGCACATGGTCTTCCTTCTGTGTTCTTTCTAAACGCTACTCTGATAACATGTTTGTAGCACATGGTCTTCCTTCTGTGTTGTTCTTTCTAAACGCTACTCTGATAAAATGTTTGTAGCACGTGGTCTTCCTTCTGTGTTGTTCTTTCTAAACGCTACTCTGATAAAA